AATAACTGAATAACCTTAGTGTACCTCGATTCTTTTTATTCTGCGGTATCACTTACCAAAATCGTACAAAACCTCTCATATCATTTCGATTTTTAACTAAAATCAAACATGTGAAGTTTGTTTAACCTGATATCTGGCCGCCTGACTTAGCAGGCGATCTGATATTCTGATTTTCACAATGTTTTATGCTACCTATTTTTATTTACGAGAAGTTTCAACTACACAGTACAACCGATCATATTACACTGGTAATCTAACTCAACCTTCGTAGTATTTACCACCGCCGTTCCCTCCTATAAGATGTCAATTCCAATCTCTCTTAACTAATTACCGAATAATCATCAGTGTAACTAAGAATTTTAAATTCCCTTTCTATGATTTATGTTTCGCAAAATTTTAGGTCATATGTAGCAAGTGATGAGAGACGAGAAAATATTAAAGTTAACTCATGTTGTTCTGCTCTTCTCAAGTTGATAAAGTCTCACTTTCGACTCGATCAACAGATGATGTACCTGGCCATCATGTAAATTGGATATATATAATCCATCCTGGTTCATCAAATAATTAAGCTGCCCAAATCTTACCAAGACGATTAAATCTGAGTGATATTCGTCAGTATGTAAAACAAAAACAGTAAAATGATTTCACTCAGCAGTGAATATTATATCAGAATCAGTGGAACTATACAGTTGCCTAGACTTAAACAGATATAGCGAAGCTCGGACGCGTATCTACTGATCGGAAGTTCACAGTCTGATTCAATGAATCATTCTGTCAAAGGTATTTTAAATAACGGATGTATCCTCGCTGATTTACATATTCCCTTTCCATTTCACATATTACCAATTCGAATCCTACCACTTTTATCACGGCTTGGACAATAAAATAACATTAGTCTTTGTGTGATATGTACCCATAGTCTAACAAATAAATAGGCACGCCGATACTGAACTACATTTCTAATCGTTATATTATATCATTCAATCGAAATCCAACTAGTCACCGGTGGTATGATTCTTTCAACAAGATTTGAAATGAGAACTAGTTATGCAGTTGGTGCAATAAAGTGTAGACAATCCCGTATCTACTTTTTAAAATAAAGTCCAAACAAAACATCAGCAGACTGAAGCTAAAGTAAGACCTGATTGACAATAAGGCATCTTAACTTTGCTGTAATGCACTCAGCGGGTAACAAATAAACCTGATACGTACAGATAGAGATCCTTATAATACTGCTGTCAAAAGCTGAATCCTTTCTTATTTACCTTACAATAAACAAGTTTAAGAACAGTAGTTTTGCAAGCAATTCCAAGTGAATAAATCAATAAACTTAGAAATCTATTTCATTGGCAGGGAACGGTGGGAAATATCCTTTTCACACGAAAGTGGATCGTATAAAACAGGTAAAGTAAATGCACCTTGGGCTACTGGTCAGCAGAAATTCAGGTCATGGAGCCCAGCCCTACACTAAGTTAGAGATGTGCACTTTTAACGGGTCACAAACTTGGAAGAATCACCTGTTTACCATATTCCCGTTATCATAGGGTTTCTAGCTTATATCAGAACTGACAGAAGTATTAAAATGTGGATTATTGTTTTCCAACCCAATGGCTCAATGCCAGTGTGCTCACCACAAAACATGAGTTTCCTGAGTTCGATCCCTGGCAAAGTCATGAGTGCCCACAACTGAGAGTTCCACACTAAATTGAAATAGCTGTTTGCTCTTCGCAGCTTTTAAGTGGTTTTCCAACTGATGACAGTCCGTGATGAATTCCAGCCTGGAATCATCAAATAAATCCTCACGAACATCCAAACATCCAAAAATGACACCTGGAATTAAAGCATAGCCAATAGGTTCGAATAGAGTCATCTGACGGTAGGAAACAATTACCTGCTTCATGTAAAATGTTTAAAATTGCAGAAAACAACAGTAAATTTAAAAACTAAGCAATACAGATCGAAAACCTATACGAAACCCACGTACTTTAACACGATTACTACCAACCTTTTATCGGCTAGTGACATAATAACGGGTCACCTAAGCCATAGGAAACTGTTTCAAAGTTTTCGACAAACCAAACAAAGTATGAAACACAGTTTGAGGGTTTGTGGAAATTTATTTGTTAATTTTAGGTTAGTATTATTCATAGGAGGAACATTGGATACCTGGGAGCACTGAACAGCTATTTCGTCTTGTAATGGAGCTAACCCAGTTGGACGTGAAGACGGTGACTAGATGACCGCATTGGATGGAGATCACACTATATCATGAACTGAAAAAGGTAGGAAATATGCACCACTGGAACCCGACCCAGTGGTCCAATGAGAACGTGCTGGCTGCAGAACTTGAAGGTCCTGGGTTCAACCTCTGGAGGGATTACGGGTGTGAACTGCTGGGGATTCTCATACTAGGACGAACAGCTGTCCAGTGCTCCCAGATACCTACAGTTTCTCCAAATGATGTCAATTATTGATGAATGCTAACCTGAAAAATATGAAATTATTTATTGTACTTAATGTCCAGTAAACTTATAGCAAGCATTTTGTCAACATAAATGGATAGCTAGCTGTCAAGATTGTGACTTTAAAGGTTACCTTAGGAACTACTGAGATAACCAACCACGTTTCTTTATTTTAAAAATAACTAAATTCTAGCTGAAATACCGAAAGCTGATTGGCTATTTCTTAAGTTGCTAGCTTGGCGTTTAAAGCCGCTCCTTTCAGATAGACATCTGTAGTTTACATCTGTATAGTACAGAGTCTGAGACAAGTACTGCAAGATCATGCATCCTCTTTTTATATCTTTATACATACCTTCATAGATACATGTGAAGTGATAGGTGCGTTATTTTTACACATCTACTAACTGCCAAAATGGTGAAATCTATTCGATATTCCTAAAACCCGTACTTAACGTAAGGTAGCCCTAGTGGTGATAAAATAATCGTTATGGATCTAATGGAAAAATAGTTGACTATCACTTCATCATACAATCTTTAACTGTGTTTTCCTTTTTATCACGTTACTCATATTTCACTTACAAGGTACTTGCGCCAACACCTATTGGAAATATTTCTGCTTTAATCACTTACTATTACTTCAAGACATTCACTTGGTGGGTAAATCGATGAGAGAGATGAGATACATAATAATGAATATTCAAAAATCTCAAACACATTTGAAGCAGAAACTATGACAGAAGTCTAATACGTTGTCACTTATTAGGCTTCAGCGTTAGGAATTATTTCAGGAATGTTGCACACCAATGGGTGGACTGAGTCAGTCATTGACATGGATGGATACCTTTCAGTAAAATCGGATGACTGTCCTGTAATATCATGAGTCGACTGAAGCTGGGGATAATTACTATGAGATTTCCACCCAGTGATTAAATAACGAAAACTCATTGTTCTTTATTCGATTACTGATGCGATGGAGAAGGTGTGTTTCTGAGGGATACCAGACCAAAAGGGACGTAGCCATAAGACAACTTATCGGTTCAAGTTCCGACATTTATACCGACACCCTGCACAATTTGTCACATATGAAACCAGTCAAAGTTGGAAAGAAACTGTCACAAGTGATTTCTCTAAGAAACACTATCGTAAAGTCCTAACTGAATTCATCAACCTCTGAGATAGAATGGATAAAATTATATAAGTCGACAGCATATTGTAGTCCGATATGCAACCTTTAGATTAGGCCAGCTCATTGAAATCATTTCAGCGAATTCACAGTAACAACTATGATTGTCAAGTTGATCCATTCGGTTTCAAGTAAAAATAATAATCATTAATTATCTTCATTATTGCTATAAGATTACCAGGTGAGATGTGTTCACCACAGATGTGATTTGCAAGTCTTGAGACCCAACTGGCGTGTCGCGAGTTGGGGTCCTCATACTATCTAAGGAGATACTATTGCTAGCCTTCACACAATAGGTGTAGCCCATAGTTAAGTGCATAAACGTGCACGTGGTTTCTGAAATATTTTTAGCTTTTTAGGTTTATATGCAATTAATATACTTTCAATAGACTGACTGCTAACTCAGCTAAGTGGTACCAAATAAACAACCAACTGAAGATTGTTCTACTTGCTGAAATAGTTAACAAAACTCATATATTGGTTGATTACTGGGGGGGGGAGGTAACAAGATTCATGTTATGTAATTTAATGTCTTCATTGGATTCTGAAGATCACTTTCCCAGTGTTGTCGACAGGCTAGGACGTCAGTTCTGTCAAGGTTGCAGATATGCCTTGCGGACGAGTGCCAACAAGCATGAAACCTAGATTCAGGGCTTTCCGTCGATTACCTCCGTACAAACAATATCTCTCATAGTTATTAATACCCCCTAAAATCCTAAAGAAGTGTAACTTGTCAATTTAACACACTTTAAAATAGCACGCACAGGAAATCAAAAGTTTTGGGATTATATTATAAGACACAAGAATAATACAGAAGTGCGACACCAACCTATAGACAATGACATGTTCAATGCATTATCGTAATTCATTTGAAACCATGTTGCCTAAGCCTTTGTACTAGTGATTCTATGCGAAATCAGCACATCAGCGAGGAGAATTAAACGTCATGAGGAGACTCAGAAAGACAATTAATAGTATCATTTGTCACCATATCTTAGTTTATCCATCATGTACTTCGTAACCCACTCACATCACATACTGAGGTAGTCGGGGTCTGAGTATGAATGACGCAGACTAGTCACCTCAGTTTCTGAGAGTCGATAACTTCATCGAAAAACAAACGTGTTGGGGTAAATGGAACAAAATTATAATTCATGATTCGTCAGCTAAATGCTTTCTGTGCAATGGCAATCAAACCACTTAACATACGATCAGTACGTTTCGTGTTGATCATCGACAAAGTTAACAAACATGTAATAGTGCGAAAATGTATTACAAATACCTATTTACTATTTTCACATCCAAACAATAGAAACTGAAAACACTAAAGCATACTTAGGAAAACAATAACTTACTTTTTGATAAATCAATAAATTTGTTGTCACCAATATTGCTAATGGCGCTAAAAATTGACCGATTACTAAAGCTGATATAATAGAACTTGTATAATACATATATACTTGATGCTTTATATGCACAGTATAGAATGGTAACTGTTTCCGAAGTACACTGGTAAAATAAGTATAGTAATAATTATAAATTACAAGGGGATTAAAGTTTTGTGTAAAATTGTTTTCGTTTTGATTCATACTACTAATATAAGTAGTTTTCATATCAGAAATAATATTGACATGATGTTGTTCATAATAAGAAATAGATGATTGATTATGTAATCTCTGCTTCCTAGTTGTATGAATAATAATTGTCAAACTGTACATTGATGCAATAAGAAATAAAACTAACGGTAAAAGACATAAAAATAAACGGATAAAACATGAAATTCTCTTTTTACTACTTTTTTTCCCTATCAGTAGTGTTGAATGTGTTAGTAAAGCAGGGGAACAACAAGAACAATAGTAATCGTGTGTAATACAACGATTGAAACAAATAGAATTAAAAAATAATCGATTAAGGCTATCTTTAGTTATTTTCAATGAATTAGTCAGTGACATTTTAAATCGAAGGTGATTAAGACGCGTTCTACGCAAATCGACATCTCCGTTATATTTTCCATAAGAATATTGTGTACGTCGAGTTGAATTATTTGTGTTAGTACTGAGTGTATTACTTCCAACACTGTTGTTATTATTACCATTGCTGGTCTGTGTTTCACTTGGCCAATGTATACCCAATGTACGCTCAAGTGCAATCCATAAAATAGCTCCAGTCTCTAATGCTTGTGCAATATCTACCGTCCAAATGTTGGTAAATGCAATCATTGTTAACCAGGCCTTTAATGTATGCCTTGTATTACTAATATTATGCATAATAATTTGACATATACACCAGCTAAGTAAACTCAGTGATAAACTGAGATTACTAATCGACAAACCAAGTAACCCTCTCAGATACCTGCGTTGTCTTCGACTACGTGGTGTATGGTATTGTGTTGAACCATGATGAAATACTGTAGTCGAATTTAGATTAGTTTGATTCAACTTTAAAAGACTGATAGATGAAGGATATTTATTGATTGGACTTGACAGAGAAAAGGAACGTGGTGTTTCTGATGGTATCTGTGATGTCAATGGTGGTGATGGCTGAGATTGTTGGTGAAACACTAAAAAACTAAATCCACGAGAGTTACGTTTATTACACCACTTTCTCGGTGAAAGACCGACTGAAGCTACGTTATTATTATTACTATTAGCAGTAGTAACAGTAGTAGTATAATTATTATTGTTGCTACTAATATTGTTATGATTGGTATTTGTTATGAAATTGTTCGAGAAGCTGGAGTTATTTATTGCACCAGTTGGCTTAGCTCGTCTATCTAAATACAACAACCCAGTGTTGGCACCGAATGAAAACAAGCGAGGAATATCGTAACAAACATTTCTAAATGAAAATGCCATCGTTCTGTAGGTATAAACAATTTTTCTGTGATAAAAATGGGTGTATTTCCTGTGAAATTTCCAGTCTTTATAAGTGTATAATTTGGATTATTGTATATATATGGAAGAGATAAGCTTTTACTATGGTCATGTGAAACATTATCATCATGTCGTTGAACTTCCTCATAAGATGCAGTAAATCCAAATAATTTTATTACTAATAAGAATGGAAGGAAGTGTTCACCAATATAGTTTGGTGTTAACATAATTCCATTTATTTTGTATCAAGTTGATGAGATGAAAATTTGAAAATTTTCAATCGCCATATCATACAATGAAATGTCCTTCAATTGAGTTAAATGAGAATTTTTTATGATTATAATTATGTGATTTGATAACTTATTTACGCAACTTGCATGTTTGCAAAATCTGATCTGGCTATAAATGACAAAGGTCAAAAATAATAACCAATAAACACAAAGTTGACATTTTGATCAATCCCATCACTGAGGTGTGTCCGTCTATCCATCGCATTAGATTGTTACTATCACCATGATAACATTCCAATCTACTGACTAATTTATAGTTTTTAAATTCAAGGTCACTCAGTGATGATTGGATGAAATCTACAAATAAGACATAGCAACGCACACCTTACAGGTAAATTTGTGTTCCATCATTTAGTGCACACAATTTAAATCTAGGTTGCCGTTGTCCATCTCCTGGTCGTAGAAGGCTATTAAAGAGGAAAATTTGTTTATCAATGAACATATGTGCACACAAACAAGCATATTTTTTTCTCCTGTCTTTATTGATTAATAAATTCAAAACAAAATCATGAATTTTTTATCACTTTTCCTCAATTTTTTCTTTAATTGTATTAAATTCCTCTTCCCAAATAATTATTTATTTATATGAACTAAGATCAAGATTTGACCCAATAGTGTGGCAAATACTGAGTGCCGAGTAAAAGGTTGACACCAGAAAGGTGACCTGCTTAAATCTTGAGCTACCAAGATACTCTCCACAGATTATGTTCCATGAGATTCTTTCATTTCAGTTTGTTTTAATTCTATAAGTGTCTTTTGAAAGCATTTTGTATTTTCGCATGATTTTAAAATGGTTTCGAACTTTCGTTTCTCAAGCTGAGAATAAAACAAAGGAAAAACCTTCCGCCAGTTGGAAATGAATTTGTGAATGCTCAAAAGCACATCACATCACTATTCCTAGGATACTTGTATGGGATTATGAATTTCTGACTTGGCCGACTGGACTGCAACCGTCAACATTACACTCGATTTTGTGTTAATTTCTGAATCGAGAATATATGTTAATAGAACGCTAGCACCTTGTTTCACACTTATGCCTTCAATACTAGTATTATTAACACTATGCAGATGTAATAATTATTTCTTTTGAAAATACTGTATGGAAAGTGAATTTGTTGGAATATTCCATGCTGAAAATTGTATAATGTATCATACATGTTTAAAATAGAACGATTATCGTTACATTTAAGTTAGTCACAGTGCGTTTGAAATAAAATTATCTCAAAGTTTCGCACAGAAGTCTGTTCAGATTATCTTTAGGGAACAAAGGAAGTGACACTCATCAATGAACAGGTGGAGGTCAGATGAATTAAATATAAAATGAAACATCCAATGCATAAGTGGTAGATATTTCATACAATTTGGTTCAAATTTCGCCCAAACTCAGATTTCCTATTTATTTCAATCATTTCTCAACTATATCATGACCGATTTACCAAACTATGCTGTCCCGAATAGTTTCATCATTACAGTAAGAATTGTCAAGTAGTTTTGTGTAAATTAGAAAATGGGTTAGATAAGTCAGTAAGAAATGTAAAAGTGACATGGATAGTAATGATACAGCATAAATCTTTTCCGAATTACTCTTCCTAACGAAAACGTTAATCAATACTAAGTGGGTTGATTAAACTTATAAATGTGAGTTATAGTGTCAAAAAATACCCGTTGTTTATTGTGTGCCCATCGTGACTCTAACCTAGTGAACAAAGATCCTGCATTTGAAGAAACGGTTCCATTAGGAAAAACATCCACCTGACTAATTCTGAGTAAAACAAAACATGAGTTTGAATCCCTCTACTAGTCACAAACTTAATCTACATACAATTGGAAGGAATCGTCATAGGAGCCCTTATGCTTATAGTGACAAATCAGTTCAGTCCAGTCAGCGATGGTAAACTACGGACTATGATATCATACAGATTGAGTTTTTCTCTTGTAGAAAGTGAGGGCTAGAATAAATGAACGTATCCGTCCCTTACCATTTATATACAATAATTATGTTTACTACTTTTGTGTAAACAGTGCATCATAAGTCGTTTTTATCAACCGTAGAGGTGACAAAATCAGAAGATAAATCTGTAAGAAGTCCTCATAGACAGGAAGCCTTCTTATTTTAAATAAGTCTCGCATAGTTACGTAATTTTCGTAACAGACTGTGTATTCGGCAAGCAATTGGTTTAATATCTACTCACAATGTAAACTAATTTTGATAGCTTTGTGTTATCTCAGCTCGATGGGTTGGTGGTGAAGCTTTCATCGTCATTTTAGAAAATGTCATCAGCACAAACTTCAGGAAGAAGTGAGCTATGGTGTTTTCTGCACAAGTGGCTTAGTAGCTTATCCTGATGGCCTTGTGTGTCATTGGTTTTTTCTGTCAAGTGTCAACGCTGTCTGTATTTATTGGGATTGATTCTCCTGCTGACAAGAACTTTGACCGCCTTGCTGTTTATTATTGGTTGACTGATTAGGTCAATATCAATCTCTTCTAAATAATGCAAGTAATTAGTAATCCTCATCTAATCAAAAACCTGCTGAGAGTTTTAAAATAAAGACAGTCGTCAGTGCTTTCGATGCTTCTGTCTTCCAACTCATATCAAAGGTGGATGGAATCTGTCTTCGAAACATTAGACTACAGTCTTGAATCCTGCTTTAAATGCTAGCGATTATTATTTACTTTCATTTTCCGCTAACCTGTATTCACACAGAAAATGTTGTTACAGTTAGCGCGAAAAGATATTGGAAGAAAGAAATAACAACATTGGAATTGCAGTGTACATAAATAAATAGAAGAAATACACAGAATTTTACACGCTCATTAATGCAACAGAAAAGATTTATTGCTACTGAAACACTGAGTTTATCTGATTCTGCTGAAATAATATTCGGACTGCTATTTAGCAATATAAGTAGGGGAAATTCCATTTGTATCCCGCTAGGAGACACTTGAAGATGAGCTTATTCAGTAAAAAAATACTTTTGAAACGACATAGATCATAAACAAGATTGTTTGCGGACAATGGAGTCCTAGTTATCAATAACCCTATGAGAGGAATTCGGTTTCACAACTGATTTCGTCTGATTACGATTTTACAACATTCCAGCGGTGACCTAGAAGATAGCTAACACTAAATGATGAGAAAAATAAAAAATATGTTAAGATTAAAAGGAAAATGAATATCAAATGTCATTATGAGAGCAGCACATTCCTAAAGTAAGCTAATGAGAAGAAATTTAACTGACCTAAACAGTCACTCAGCGATCTCAGGTTCTCTGAATGATTTCAGACTGTAATGAATACCATCTTGGATTAATTTTAATTAATTTCGTAAAAGATGATGCATTTTCTAATCACGTTTAAGAAAGTTCATCAAGTTTTTATTCGTAAACTGTTTCAGTATTAAAATCAGAAATGAAAAAGTGATTATTTAAGTCAACTTATATAAAGCGAAATCAAAAGTAAAAGAGTATTAAACAGAGAGTAAGATGGCTCTGGCTTTTCCCAAGTACTTGTATGAAATAACTTGACATTTGAAATCAGTCCACAGGAGCTCTAGGATGAACCTAGGATGGTATCTACTAGTAGTATTCCACTAATGTTACTCTATATAGCATTCTGAATGGATATGAAAAGCTTTTGGACGTAAGCTTCAGCTTACTGGTTTTCTGTATAGCTGGTGACATGGAAACCTAGACGTTTTGAACTGTATCCCATGTTATATTGATAGCTTATATTGTTAAAGCATCATATTACAGAATGAAACAGCAATCGATTGTTGTTGAGTTCTAAGTGATTCCGTAACTGATTTTACGCTGTAGTGAAAGATATCGCAGCCTTAGGTGGTTTTATCGGTTTCACATTTTTCAGATCCTTATTAACGTCAAAATTAAAGGCGATTGATTGGTACATTAAGAAACAGGAATCAAATAAGATTGAATTTCAAAAAGGCATGAATTAACTATTGAGAGATTAAATGATCATACGAATTAACGTTTTGAAACAGAGATGTAAGTATTCGCATGAAAATATAAAAATCCAGTGACTCAAGAATTATTTCAATGAATAAAGAATATTCTTTTCGATAACCTCTTCTTCAGGTCCTACAGTTATATGTACATTTTGAAGAATTAAGCGACAACAATGTTGAGATTCCGCTTATCAGTCTGTTAATCATATTATACAGTTGAGGAAGTCAATTGGGAAAAGTCTTGTGTGAACTTTAATGATAGAATCGATTATTACTAAGATTCAGTTTAAAATGTGTGATAATCTAAACCATTATACGGCGTATATTATACTATGTAACTGTTTAATCAAACAATAGGAAAGTGTTTATAACAATTGGATAGATAAGTTGACAGATAACAGCTTGATTGAAGGTCACTCATGCTAGGGAACAAAGTAGACTAAAAGAATTCGTTAAAATTATTTAAGATTATAGGGATGAAGAGATATCTGCGGTATCGAATTAGAAAAAATAGATTAAATGGGGCAGGACGCCAAGGAATTTATAAGTTCCAATTCGGGCCAAGGTATTTAGAATGCAGCAAGTATCTTTTTCGATAACATAATTCAGGTTGTTTAGTCCTGATTGCCACCACTTTTGTACTCTGAAGGATTCGGAGCCCGGGGCCTTTCGGCGAGTTGATGGGAACCCAGAAAATAGTGGAAACTGACTTATTCACATCCAATGTACGGTTAATTTTATTACTTATGCTGATAAGGGTATGGTAATGGTCTTAATCCCACTTCAGCTTAATCATACTGCGAGGTGGTCGCGAGCCCATGAAATTAAATTCATACAACAGGTCTAATTGGTCCCACTGCAGCAGTTGGACTGATAAACACAATAGATAGTGATCTGTTTATCCAATTCATCTTTCAGTTTAGGTGTCAGCATTGGATATTTGGAAAATGTAATTTGTAACTTACCAGCGTTAAAAGCTTTTTTCGTTGATCTGCGTAGTTTGTGAATTAATTAATATCTCACTAGGGCAAATCACCTCTAAATTGTACTCGAACGTTTTATTGACGCAAATCTACACAATATGCACATATAACTGTGGGACCTGAAAAAGAAATTATTGGAACAAATATTATTTGTTCATTCAAATGGCTTTCCACTTACAAGGGAAGTTTCCAAGCAGGTGAAAATAATAATTCTCCATCTTTTACATGGAAACATCGGTGGCTATGTGAAATAAAACGGATAATGAT